AGTCTCCTCCCTGAGCGGCGTCTGCTGTTCGGACTTGCAGGCTTCAAACATGACTGGGGGGATTCCTGGAAGACAAAAGAATTCAGGGCTGGGGCTTGGATCTGAGTCAAAAATAACTCACGTCTTCATCTCAGGCAGATCCATGGCGGGCCGCTCCAGGCTGTTTGCAGGTTTCTCAGAAGATCAGAGCTCCACGTGGTGAGAGGGGCCTGTAAGGGTCAGTTTGGGTTTGCTTTAGGGAGAGAAAGCGCCTTGAGGGGCTCATGCCTGACCGAAGGAGACCTCAGAATGGGAAACTATTGTTGGAAAAGAGGCCCAAGCCGGAGAAGTTCTGGAGAAAATCAGCCCCCCTTCGCCCCCTGCTCTGCGCTGCCATTTGCTTTGGGCGGTAATTATAGCCCTTAATGTTCCTTCCCTGGCTTCTCATTAGCTCATGTGGTCCACAAACTCCTTGGCTCCCCTCACTCCGCTTCCCCCTCCCAGGGGCTCCCCCGGGCTTTCCCGGCTCACCACTGGCAACCCATGTTCTAGCCCAGAGCATCAGATCCTTATGAACTCCGCCCTCTCTTGGTGGGTGCGCTTTAGAGTCTCAGCCCCCGAACAGCTCTTCCTCTTCCCTCCTTCCTTTTCTCCCTGAGCTGTAATCAGAGGATTATCTGATTTTCTCCCCAGGAGGCCAGGGCCTGGGTCTTACTCCCTTGGCATTCTTAGCACCTCGGCCAGGGTCTGGCGAATAATGGACACTTGCAGTAGTGTTCTTTGAATTGCACTCTTGAGCTGGGGCCAACTTGATCTTCCTAAAATGCTGCTCAAGTTAGAAGCGATCCCTGCTTCTCCATCGCCCCCCCCCCCCCCCCGAGCAAGGTCCCCCCCCCTCAGCCTGGCACTCAAGGACTCTTGAGACATGGTTCTCACCACCTGGCCACTTGGAGCTCACCCTCCAAGCTGCTCTCAACACCGTCAGTGGCTTTCCTACCTCTGTGCTTTTGCTGCGGTGGTTCCTTCCACCCAGACACCCTTCCACACGGTCTCCCCTAAAGCTGCCCCCACTTTCGAGGCTGATCTCTGAACTGAGTGTGACTCTTCGGAGCTCAAACTGCTCTCCCCCCAGGCTCTGATCCTGTGCTGCAGCCGCTAAGAGCATCTTGTTAGGAACTTCAAGAGAGGTCATGGGTGTGGAGCACTGACAAAATGAAGAGCAGGGTATCCGTCAAAGCCAATCAGCCCTTGTTTGCTGTCACCGCCCAGCAGACCAAGGGTTCTCTGAGGACGGGGCCCGTGTACAGTTGTCTAACAAGTGCCTGACCCACGGCAGCCACTCCGTGAAAGTGAGCAGGCACCAATGCCCATTCCCTCCTCTGTCCCCAGTGTGGCCCTGAATGTGCCAGTCCTCAGGTCATCCTAGTCTGGAGTGGCCCAAAAGCTTCCAGACAGCCTTGGCCACTCCCATCCCCCAGAGGGGTCCCACTGCCTGCTGGGGGGCACGGTGTCCTGAGCTGCTGATTGCCTGGGTCCGAGGGGTGAAACAGGCTGGCTGGTGAGGCGGAGGCTACCCTGAAGGCTAACGGAGGTTCACGGAGGAGGTTGGATAAGGCCAGATGGCCATTCTCCTTCCAGCGAGGGCCAGGGAAAGGGAAGCAGTCTCCTGAAAGGAAGCTTCGGTGAGCGGTTGGGAATTCTTTCCTAGGATACTTTTGGTGCGGGTGGAACGTTCCTAGGGCAGACGGAGAAACAAGGTGTCCTCCTGGAGACTTCTCGGATCCTCCCTCTCCCCTAATTGCTGCTGAGCTCACGACCTCTTCCTTGGATGGCATCTCCCATCTTCCTTTGCTCAAGCCAACCTCCTCCTGTCGATTTTCCATATTGCAGCTGAAGGATTTTTTTTTTTTAAGATTTATTTATTTATTTGAGAGAGAGCGAGAGCAAGAGAGAGAGAGCGCAAGAGTGAGCACGCAGCGGGGAGGCGCAGAGGGGGAGGGAGAATATTAAGCAGATTCCCAGCTGAGCGCAGAGGCCAACACGGGGCTGATCCAGGGACCCTGAGATCATGACCTGAGCCCAAACCAAGAGTTGGTTGCTCAACTGATTGTGCCACCCAGGTGCCCCTGGAAGGATCTTTTTATATTTACAGTTGAGAGAGACAGAGAGAGTGCATGCGCTAGAGTGGGGGAGGAGCAGAAAGAGAGGGAAAGAGAATCTTAAGCAACATGGGGCTGGATATCATGACCTGAGCCACAATCAAGAGCCAGGTACCTAACCAACTGAGCCACCCGCGTGCCCCCAGAAGGATATTTTTAAATATTACTCTGCTGCTCACAGTCCTTCGAGGCCTCCCCATTGGCATTCGGTAAAGTTGAAGCTCCTTTCTCAGGAAACTCACAGCCCTTCAAACCGTCGCTTGCAGGCCGAGCTCTTCACGGGAAGCAGCCTGCTCCCATGGGCAGCCATGCCGGGTTGCTCGTAGCTCCCTGCCATACCATACCGTTTCCCATGCCCGGCCTCTGCCTGTGCTGTTCCCTCTGCCTAAAATGCCTTCCCTTCAGGTTTCTCACTTTGCCTGGTTCTGGGGGCATACCCTTTGTGAAGCCTTGGACCCTCAAGAACCCTGTCCTTTGGGTTTCTATGCCCCCTGCACTTCCCGGGCTGTGTCCAGCTGAACAGCTTCTGGAGGGCAGGATCTGGATCCTGTTTATCTCTGTATTCCCAAAGCTCTGTCACCCGCACTCAGTAGGAGCTCAGTGTTCAGAGAACTGAGCCTGCTGGGGTTCCTTCTACCCGACGGGGTGACAGAGTTGGACTGTTGATAAGAGATGCACTGGGCTAAAGAAACCAAAGGGCAGCTGGGGTCAGAACACCGCCCAGGGCTGCTGGGCGTCACGGCAGAGTGGCTGACGCCTCTCTGGCCCTTCCTCCCCTCACCCCACCCCAGGCTTCCTGGGCGACTGGTCCAGTCCCAGAGGTCTGAGTCTCCCACAGCCAGCACCAAGACAGGTCAAGTCAATGATACCGGGAGGGTGGGGAGGAGGCAGTGATACTGACCTCAGGGCCCCATGCTTCCTTTTGTCCTTCCAGATGGGGCATCTTTCCACAAAGAAGCAGGCCCCTCTTCTGTCCCCCTGAAGCCTGTTTTCAAAATCACACCCTATGCAGACAGTTTTATTTACAAGGAAATCTTGGCAGGATCTTGACTTGTTAGTAGAGTAGGGATGGGGGAGGGTGGTGAGAAACAAAAATAGTTGAAATGATCACACTTTCTGAAACCGAGATGAAAATTGGTGTCTGTAGCAAATTCACCTAATTAGAACGGAGTTAATTTCCTCCTCTGTGTTTAAGGGGAATGAATAGTCATTGTCGGGTGAGATGGTCACAGGTTGGATCCCGGGGCCAGGGTTGTGTGTCTGCTTTATAATGATGAGAGCATTAATTGCCAACTTTCACTGTTGGAAAAGTCTCCCTTTCTTTCTTTTTTTTTTTTTTTTTTAAGGATTTTATTTATTTATTTGACAGAGAGAGACACAGCAAGAGAGGGAACACAAGCAGGGGGAGTGGGAGAGGGAGAAGCAGACTCCCCGCGGAGCAGGGAGTCGATGTGGGGCTCGATCCCAGGACCCCGGGATCACGACCCGAGCCGAAGGCAGACGTTTAACTGACTGAGCCACCCGGGCGCCCTAAGAGTCTCCCTTTCTGACGGGGGGGAGAGAGAGAGGAGCAAAGACCAGTGAGTGGGTGGGTGTTGGGTGTTGGGAGGAGGACTAGAAGCGTACTGACTGGCCAGGACTGAGTCCCTGGGCCTCTTGGGAGAGGTAGCATTTGTCCCAGCCGACCACTGGACCAGCTGGCAGGCAGAGCCTCTGCTTCTGGGAGACAATCTCCTGGGAGGGCTTTCCCGCAGGGAAACAACACCCATTTTTTATAAGATCCTCTCTGCCTCTGGTCTAACTTCAGTACTACCTGCTTTAGTTTCTTTTCCTCCCTTCTCCCAGTTGGGGCACCTCTCTGGGCTTGCCTCTGTCAACCTGGTCAGATGAAGCCAGGGCACGGTCACATAGCTCTCTTGGGGGGGGGGCAAGATTTAGGATTTGGGGTCCCGACCGCCCCTATCTGACTTCTCCCATCCCTGAATTACTGGGCGTATCTGGACCTCCCAGAATCTGAGACCCAAGGCAAGGGAAGAGAGATAGAAGGGTGCTCAGGATCCTGTCCTCCCAGCATCCCGCCCCCAATTCACTCCCAGTTAACCCCGACGTTGCCAACTTAGGGAAAGCCTCGCCCCTGCCTCCTTCACGCATCGGCAGCCTCCAAGTGAACGTTAACCCGGTGGGTCTCGGGGAGTGGGCACTGCACCCCACCCTGGCCCCGAGACCAACCCGGGCCCGGCGTGGGGGCTGGCGGTAACGGGACCAGGGACAGCGCAGCGCTCCCCTCCGCAGCCCGCCTCCCCCCCACCCCCCCGCCCCGGGCGGTGCAGCCCCTTCCCCGCCAACCCCGCCGCGGCTCTGCGCCCGGGGCCGCGCCGCTCTGACCGATTTGGCTCTGGTGGTGGCGCCCGGGGGCGGGGGACGGCGGTCCCCGGGAGCAGCCCCGCCCCCGCCCGCGCGCCGCCCCCGAGGAGTCCGCGGGGAGGAGGAGACTCCGGCGCAGAGCGGGGGCCGCGGGAAGCGGGAAGGGAGCGCGGGGAGCCGCGGTGGCCGGGGCCGGCCCAAGGGCGCCCTCGCCTCGGAGCCGGGCGTGGGGGCCGGGGCGCAGGCGGAGGCCGGCGGGGCGGCGAGCGCGGAGAAGTTTGGCGGCGAGGGGCCGGGCGTCCCGGGGCGGCGCGGCGGCGAGGCGGCGGCGGCGCGGGGGCCGGGGCCATGGGGGCGGGCGCGGGCGGCTGGGCTGGCGCGGAGGCGGCGCGGCGCGCACAGAACCCTCGGAGCTGCGCGGCCGGCGCGGCGCAAAGTTAGCCCGGCGCCCCGGGACGAGCCCCGCAGCCGCCCGCGGGCCCTGGACCCCGCGTCGGCATGGGCGAGCACCCCAGCCCGGGCCCCGCAGTGGCCGCCTGCGCCGAGGCGGAGCGCATCGAGGAGCTGGAACCCGAGGCCGAGGAGCGGCCGCCGGCGGCGCCGGAAGACGTGAGTGCCCCCTCCCCCGCCCGGGCAAACTTTCTGGGGGGCACTAACTGGGGAGCTGCCCCCGTCTCGCCCCCGCGGGGCAACTTCGAGGTTTCAAGGTGACGCGGGAGCGCCCCGGATTGGCCGGGTCCCCGCGGGCGGGAGGGGGCGGAGGGACCGGTCTCCCCCAAACGCGCGCGCGCCATCCCCCGCTCGGGCTCCGCGGCTTCCCTGCGGGACGCAGCCCCGCCGCTGCGCTGGGGACCGGTCGGCCGCGGGAGCCCCCTCCCCGCGGCTGGTGCAGTGGCCGGGACACGGCGTTTTCCCGCAGAGGCGGCCGCGTCACAGCCGTGACTACCCCTCCCCTCCCACTCGCGACCTGCGGGCTCTCTGAGCCCGGGGAAGGAGCGGGCGCCGCGGAGTCCCCGGAACCCGGCCGCGCCGACCGCTCTGGGGACCCCCTTCTTTGCTTCCGGATTAGCTCCCTCCCGGCACCTGCCCTGTCGCCACACTGAAATTCAAGCCGGCCCGGGTCCCTGAACCCGGCCGGAGGAGGGAGAGGCGGAGTGCTGGGAGCGGTGTCGCTTCCAGAAGAGAGCCCAGGAGTCCCAGACCGAGTCGATGCCAGCGACGGTCCCCCGGGCGAGGATGGGGAGGGGCTGCCCCAGAGGGCTTCCCTGCCATCTGCTGCTGGAGTCTCTCCTTCCCTCTGGTCCGGCGAGCCATCGGCGGAGCGGGCACTGGGGAGTCCTGGGAACTGGGGTTTCTTAAGCTGCTCCCTCCTGGGGTTAACCTGCATATAGAGGTGAAAAACTGGAGAGACATTCTGCCCTGCCCTAGCCCTCTCTCAGGGTAGGGAAAGGGAGAAGCCAGGACGGGTAACCTACCAGGGAATGTGCCCCAGGAGAGCTTAACCTCTTCCCTCCCCTTTGGCTCCCTTGGTTAAACCTCTCACCTGCTTCTGGCTCCCAAGCCCTGTACTCACCAGGCTCGTGTACTCAGAACTTAGATTCAGCCTTGGAGAGACTGTTTAGATTTCAGTGGATTCCGGAGACCCCCTCCTCCCAAACTGCAGGCAACCGTTAGTGTTTATTCAGGGCTGAGTTTTCCTGAGTGGGGGTGGGGGGGGTCTCTGACCCCCAGCAGGTGGAGACTGTTGCAGCAGGGTGGGTTCCCAGGTGTGGGAGTAGACATGGAAATGAGCTTTAGGCAGAAGTTATTAGAGGCCCTTGGATAGAGTTGGATGCCTTTATTTAGTAATTGCTGAGAATCACCCTTGTTCAGCGTATCCGTCTTCCCGCCGGACTCCAAGAGAGGGACAACCCCCCCCCCACCCAACCTGAGTTCCCTGTATTTGCTTAGTGCAGACTCATTTAGGGAGCTCCTCCCAGGTTTCCCCTGGTGTCTTGTGGCGGGTTCCTGAGTCTGGGCAGCAGCTGGGAAGCTATGTCAGAAATATCAGGGGCTAGAGAGTCCTTGGTGATAAGTATGTGTTTCTTTCTCTCTCTCCTCTTCCTCCTCTTCTGCATGGCCTCCCTCTCTACCAGCACTGGAAAGTCCTGTTTGATCAGGTATGTGAGCAGTTAAATCCCCCCACTTCCTTCCAGCCCTCCCCACAATCAGTCTCCCTGCTTGCGTGGGCTTCCCTAGCTCTGCACTCCTGAGACGGTGACGTGTGGTGGGGGCGTGGCTTAGTGCATCTCCGAGACTGATCGACAGTGCTCTCCACTGCTCTCCAGGTTTCAGGAGTAGGCGGTGGGCTCGCCTGAGAGATCCTTCGCTCCCTCCTCCTCCCAACTCTGCCTTCTAAATACCATGTAGAAATTGCACAATAGGTATCAAAAGCCTGGGACATTCCCTATATGCGGGGATGGGTGGGGGGGATTGCAGTCGGGACTGAGGAGGTGGGGGGAGGGCTCAGATTAATATCCTCTCTCCTTTTTTACCTCCACCTTCAAAGATCCGTGGCCACCACTGAAGTCAACTCTCTGCTGTCCTTGGAGGGTGACTCACAGTATGGGCTCTTTTGAAAGCTGACTCTAACTTTGCGGCAGGGATGAGAGAGTTATGGGAAATAGTATGTGATTGTTTGCAACTCCTAGCGTCTAGGTGTGGGGAATGGAGTTGGGAATGCCAACTTTGGAATCTCTTGATGGACATTTGACCTTCAGCAAGGAAACAGTGTCTTCGTTGCTTAGTACCAGTGTTGAGAGCTTTTGTGTATTTCCCTCTCTGTCTCCATTCCCGGATGCAGAGGAGAGGAGGCAAGTGATGGTCCATCGCAGGGAGACTGGTGAGCACTCTGGTCCTGCAGTAGGCATGATTGTGCCATGAAGTTTGTGCAACTTTAAGAGCCCAGTCTGGTTGGGCCAGAGGGAACCTGTTGGGTTGGACGAGGAGATGAAGCTAGCTTGGACCAGACCTTATCCTGTTGTAGGCAGGGAAAGCCTTTGAAAGTTTTTTCAGCAGGGATCCAAGCAATGCTTTGGAAAGGTCTGGTGTGCTAGTGGGAAGGAAGTAAGGTGGATGGCAGGCATGAGAGAAAGTAGGCAGGGACCTGCTGCAGTGAATGAACATGGAGGATGGCAAGAATGGAAAGGAAGGGGGACGTGGCAATGGGGGGAATTGGAAGATCTCACTGGACCCACGTAGATGAGTGAAATGCATAGATAACTTTGGGATTCTGAACCTGGAAGGAAAAAGGGAAAGTCAGGGTGGGGAGTGGGGTGTTAGCAAAAATGACAGCTTTGGTGACAGACCAGTTCAATGCAAAGAACCCACCAAATGCAGGTGCCCGAGTGGGACCGAGACCTGGAATTACAGCAGGAAAGTCGTGGTAGGCAGAGGTTGAGGGGTGCTTGTGGGCATCCCGCACATTAGAATGAGGCCTGGCTATGGTTTGGGGAGCATCCACCGGCTCCCGTCCCAGCGGGGTGGCGCATCTCTCCCTCTGCTCCCACTCGCCACCCACTCTCCCTCCAGTTCCTGGGAGCACAGCGGCCGCCCTGAGGCAGGAGGGGCCTCCTGCTGCCACCGACACCACGACCAGCAAGCTGTCAGCCCTTCACACCTCCTGCCAGATTTAGAATCAGAACCTAGAACAAAGTGTATCATTCTTTTTCCCTCTGTGTCTGTCTTCCTCATTTGATTAATTTTCTGTGTATGTTTACATTTTAAAAGGGACTATTTCGGTGAATGGAGGAAAACAGTAGGAAGAATTTGGAGCAGAGAGAGGAGAGTGTGTGTGGAGAGCAGAGAGAATGTGTAGCAACTAATATTCGAGGGTGGTGTGAAATCCATTTTCTCCCACCAGAGGGAGGTCCCTCGTGTCACAGGGAGCATCCCCCTGCTTCTGGGAAGGCCCACCCGGAAACCATGCTAGACAGACAAAATTAATTCTAGGAAAGAAACTCCCAAAGTACTCCAGGCAAACCATTTTTTTCTCACAGTAAGTTCTGCCTTATGCCTATTCCCCATCTATCACGTGGTGTTAGAAGCCCATTTCTGGGGGCACCTGAGGTGGGGGGTGCAGTCGGTTAAGCATCTGACTCTTGGTTTTGGCTGAGGTCATGATCTTGGGGTCATGGGATCGAGCCCCACGTCTGGCTCTGCTCAGTGAGGAGTCTGTTTGTCCCACTCCCTCTAAAATAATAAATCTTTTTTTTTTTTTTTAAGAATTTATTTGTCAGAGAGAGAGAGAGCGAGCTTGCACAAGCAGGGGGAGCGGCAGGCAGAGGGAGAAGCAGGCTTCCCGCTGAGCAAGGACCCCGATGCGGGGCTTGATCCCAGGACCCTGGGACCATGACCCCAGCCAAAGGCAGCCACTTAACCGACTGAGCCACCCAGGCACCCCTAAAATAATAAAATTTTTTATAGAAAAATTTTTTATAGAAAAAATCTATAAAAAAAAAAGTGCCCATTTCTGTTGCCTTCCTTCCTGTGGGTGATTTGTGTTTAAGGAGAGCTGCTCCTGAGCAGGCCTTGACTTCTGTGTTCCTTGCCCCTACTTTGTGAAGCTGCCCCTGGACCATTCCCCAGTGGTGCTAACTGGAGAAATGCTATGAAGTTTCACAGAGGGGTGTGCAACTTCAGGATGCGAAGGTTATTCAGAATTCGGAAGGGTTTTTCCCCTTGCCTTTCCTGTGGGCCTGCTTAACGGTAGGACTTGAGGATTGTGGACCTTGGTGCACTTAGGAAAGAGCATTTCAGTGGAGGTTGAGGCAGCCCCCCCCCAAACCACCTTATCCAGAAATGGGCAGCCCTGACCAGTCAAACTGTGGTCAATGGGGGGTTCATGACACCTGTTGGAGTCTCTGCAAACTGATATGTTCACCTTCCAGAGGTTGATGGGATGAGAAGCTGGCCAAAGTTGGTCCTCCTTTCCTTTCTCGGGCAAGGGAACACCAACGATGACCCAGTTTCGAACTGGGACCTGCTGGGACTTCTCCCCCTGGTTTTAGGGATATTTGGCATTGCACCAGTTCCCTCTGTGCTGTCTGGTTCTTTAGCACATGGAGTGGCTTTGACCCAGCATGAAGCTAATTAAACCCCAAGAACTAGAAGGCACGACCTTGGCCTGTTGGTCCTGTGTGGTCATCCCTCAAATAATTGGTCAGGATGCCTTTTGTGGGAGTTGGAAGTGAAGAAAATAGGTGACCCCAGTCCCTTGGAGTCTCCCCTCCCCCATATTCTGGGAATTTGGCTGGCCTGCTCAAGCAGGAGAGTAGCAGGCCAGCCCTCCTTACCCCATCCCTGACTTCTTCCCCGTGGGTCCTGGAAGTTATAGTAGGCGGGAAACCAGGAGGTCATCACTTCAACCCCTAGACGGTCCATCATATGTTTTGTTTCTTATTTCCACTTCTGCTTGAGGGAATTATCTTTTCATGCGCCTGGGATCTAAACGGTTTTCCTAAATATTAGATTTTAAAGTTACGTAAATACCAATCTGTCGTCATAGTGTAGCATCTTACAAAATGTCTTTTCTGTAGTTGAATCTTTTGAGCTTTTCCATCATGATTCCTTCTATTGCTTTAGACCTGAGACGGTCTTCATCCCTCTTTATTTTTTTTAAAGTTTATTTATTTATTTAAGCAGTTTCTACACCCCACGTGGGGTTCAAACTCACAACCCTGAGACCAAGAGTCGCATGCTCTTCCGACTGAGCCTGCCAAGCGCTCCAGTCTTCATCCCTCTTTAGATCTTATAAATATGCACTTCTATTTCCTACTGTAGTTTCTGTGACTAAAGAAATCATCCAGCCCTTTACTCCATCCTGACCTTGTTTCTATCCAGTTATGCCAGCACTTAGTAAGAAACACTTCCTTTATTTTTTTTTAAGATTTTATTTATTTATTTGAGAGGGAGAGAAAGTGCACGGGCACAAGCAGGGGGGAAGGGCAGAGGGACAGGGAGAGGGAGAAGCAGACTCCCAGCTGAGCAGGGAGCGCGATGCGGGACTCGATCCCGGGACCCTGAGATCATGACCTGAGCCGAAGGCAGACACTTAACCAACTGAGCCACCCAGGCGCCCCAAGAAACTCTTCCTTTAATGTGTTTAGAAAATTTTATCACTTGATAAACTTTTATATGTGGGGGGCCAGTTTATTCTTTATGTCTCATCTATCTCGCTGATGTTTGTAATTTTGTGCAGGTAATGTGCCCTTCACTTCTTGCTTTATGTTGTTCCATAGGCTCCTCTTTTTCAGGTTATGTTTAGACAGTCTCAGTCCCTTCCCGAACTCTAGGGAGGTGCCGTCAGGGATCCAAGGTCAAAGAGCAGGGCAATGGCAGATACTGGACCCGAATGCACTTAACCCCTAAAGGGCTTCCAGGGTGGGAAAGTCATTTCCAGGTTCACCCTTAAAATACCTTCAGGATCTATCTTCAAGATCTGCAAATGTTTAATGAGCAAAAGTGTGGAGCAGAAATCTGTTGAGTCAACAAAGCACAGTTGCTTTTGAGCTCAGATGAGTGAGAAGGAAAAGGAAGGATTGGAAGTAATTTGGGTTTTCTCCCCCACTTCCACTGGGAACATGCATTTCTCAGGCCCCCATAAGAGCCCCAACTTTGCTAATCTCCCAGAAGGAGAGCAGACAAGTTGTGGCTGTCCCACCACTGACATTATAAACGTGCTACAACCAGCACGCAGAGCAACTGAACGACCTGCTAGATACAAAAGCCTGGATTTGGAGTCAGATGGACCTGGCTTCAGGCCTTATGCCTTTGTCACAGGGGCCAAGTGGCATTAGCTCTCTGAGCCTCGATTTCCTCATTTGTAAAACAAGGACAGTGATCTTGAACTCCAGGAACAATAGTAGGAATTAAATGAGAGTGGAGATTCTTTACAATGTCTGATATCCAGTGGACATTCAACAGCTGTCTCTTAACTGGGAATCAGAATTTGCTGGAAAGACGCACAGGGTTGCTTCTGAGATCCAGGCCCCCACAGGGAAATCAGCGGCCTCTCTAAACCAGCTCCTGCCCAATCCAGGTTCCTGGAAAGAGAGCCACTTCTGAGCCCGGAGGATTTTCCTGCTGGCTTTCCCCAAGTGTCTCCCCTGCTCGGCCCCCT